TACCTGGGGCCACCTTTATCTGTGTCTGTGTGACTGCACTTGCCCCTACAGCCCTGCTAGAGGCTACCTGGGGCCACCTTTATCTGTGTCTGTGTGACTGCACTTGCCCCTACAGCCCTGCTAGAGGGCTACCTGGGGGAGCTTTGTCTGTGTCTGTGTGACTGCACTTGCCCCTACAGCCCTGCTGGAGGCTACCTGGGGGAGCTTTGTCTGTGTCTGTGTGACTGCACTTGCCCCTACAGCCCTGCTAGAGGCTACCTGGGGCTCCCTTTGTCTGTGTGACTGCACTTGCCCCTACAGCCCTGCTAGAGGCTACCTGGGGGAGCTTTATCTGTGTCTGTGTGACTGCACTTGCCCCTACAGCCCTGCTAGAGGCTACCTGGGGCTCCCTTTATCTGTGCCTGTGTGACTGCACTTGCCCCTACAGCCCTGCTAGAGGCTACCTGGGGGAGCTTTGTCTGTGTCTGTGTAACTGCACTTGCCCCTACAGCCCTGCTAGAGGCTACCTGGGGGAGCTGTGTCTGTGTGACTGCACTTGCCCCTACAGCCCTGCTAGAGGGCTACCTGGGGGAGCTTTGTCTGTGTCTGTGTAACTGCACTTGCCCCTACAGCCCTGCTAGAGGCTACCTGGGGCTCCCTTTGTCTGTGTCTGTGTGACTGCACTTGCCCCTAGAGCCCTGCTAGAGGCTACCTGGGGGAGCTTTGTCTGTGTCTGTGTGACTGCACTTGCCCCTAGAGCCCTGCTAGAGGCTACCTGGGGGAGCTTTGTCTGTGTCTGTGTGACTGCACTTGCCCCTACAGCCCTGCTAGAGGCTACCTGGGGTCACCTTTGTCTGTGTGACTGCACTTGCCCCTACAGCCATGCTAGAGGCTACCTGGGGCTCCCTTTGTCTGTGTCTGTGTAACTGCACTTGCCCCTACAGCCCTGCTAGAGGCTACCTGGGGGAGCTTTGTCTGTGTTTGTGTAACTGCACTTGCCCCTACAGCCCTGCTAGAGGCTACCTGGGGCTCCCTTCATCTGTGTCTGTGTGACTGCACTTGCCCCTAGAGCCCTGCTAGAGGCTACCTGGGGCTCCCTTTATCTGTGTCTGTGTAACTGCACTTGCCCCTACAGCCCTGCTAGAGGGCTACCTGGGGTCACCTTTGTCTGTGTGACTGCACTTGCCCCTACAGCCCATGCTAGAGGCTACCTGGGGTCACCTTTGTCTGTGTGACTGCACTTGCCCCTACAGCCCATGCTAGAGGGCTACCTGGGGCTCCCTTTATCTGTGCCTGTGTGACTGCACTTGCCCCTACAGCCCTGCTAGAGGGCTACCTGGGGCTCCCTTTATCTGTGCCTGTGTGACTGCACTTGCCCCTACAGCCCTGCTGGAGGCTACCTGGGGTAGCTGTGTCTGTGTGACTGCACTTGCCCCTACAGCCCTGCTAGAGGGCTACCTGGGGTCACCTTTATCTGTGCCTGTGTGACTGCACTTGCCCCTACAGCCCTGCTGGAGGCTACCTGGGGTAGCTGTGTCTGTGTGACTGCACTTGCCCCTACAGCCCTGCTAGAGGCTACCTGGGGCTGCCCTTTGTCTGTGTCTGTGTGACTGCACTTGCCCCTACAGCCCCGCTAGAGGCTACCTGGGGGAGCTTTATCTGTGTCTGTGTGACTGCACTTGCCCCTACAGCCCTGCTAGAGGGCTACCTGGGGTCACCTTTGTCTGTGTCTGTGTGACTGCACTTGCCCCTACAGCCCCGCTAGAGGCTACCTGGGGGAGCTTTATCTGTGTCTGTGTGACTGCACTTGCCCCTACAGCCCTGCTAGAGGGCTACCTGGGGGAGCTTTGTCTGTGTCTGTGTGACTGCACTTGCCCCTACAGCCCATGCTAGAGGGCTACCTGGGGCTCCCTTTGTCTGTGTCTGTGTAACTGCACTTGCCCCTACAGCCCTGCTAGAGGGCTACCTGGGGCTCCCTTTGTCTGTGTGACTGCACTTGCCCCTACAGCCCTGCTAGAGGGCTACCTGGGGTCACCTTTGTCTGTGTCTGTGTGACTGCACTTGCCCCTACAGCCCTGCTAGAGGGCTACCTGGGGCTCCCTTTGTCTGTGTGACTGCACTTGCCCCTACAGCCCTGCTAGAGGCTACCTGGGGCTCCCTTTGTCTGTGTGACTGCACTTGCCCCTACAGCCATGCTAGAGGCTACCTGGGGCTCCCTTTATCTGTGCCTGTGTGACTGCACTTGCCCCTACAGCCCTGCTAGAGGGCTACCTGGGGCTCCCTTTATCTGTGCCTGTGTGACTGCACTTGCCCCTACAGCCCTGCTGGAGGCTACCTGGGGTAGCTGTGTCTGTGTGACTGCACTTGCCCCTACAGCCCATGCTAGAGGCTACCTGGGGCTCCCCTTTGTCTGTGTCGCAGAGTACCAGATCATCCCGGGCCCCATCATATCGGGATCTCCTGGCTCCATCAGCGTGATTGGTGGTGGTGGTGGTGGTGGCGGTGGTGGTGGTGGTGGTGGCGGTGGTGGTGGTGGTGGTGGTGCTACCACCACCGCCACCACCACCACCAAGTCCATCAAGCCGAGCAGAGCTCCACGCATCTCTGGGGAGGATCGTAGCTCACCTGGGAATCGCACCGGTGGGTGGGTGTGTGGGTGTGTGGGTGGGTGGGTGTGTGGGTGAGTGTGGGTGGGTGGGTGGGTGTGTGGGTGGGTGAGTGGGTGGGTGTGTGGGTGGGTGGGTGGGTGTGTGGGTGGGTGTGTGGGTGGGTGTGTGGGTGGGTGAGTGTGTGTGTGTGTGGGTGTGTGGGTGTGTGTGTGGGTGGGTGTGTGTGTGAGTGGGTGCGTGTGTGGGTGGGTGAGTGAGTGGGTAAGTGGTTGGGTGAGTGGGTGTGTGTGTGTGTGGGTGAGTGTGTGTGTGGGTGGGTGTGTGTGTGGGTGAGTGTGTGTGTGGGTGGGTGTGTGTGTGGGTGGGTGAGTGGGTGTGGGTGGGTGTGTGGGTGGGTGTGTGGGGGTGGGTGGGTGGGTGTGTGGGTGGGTGGGTGTGTGGGTGGGTGGGTGTGTGGGTGGGTGGGTGTGTGGCTGGGTGTGTGTGTGGGTGGGTGAGTGGGTGTGGGTGGGTGTGTGGGTGGGTGTGTGGGGGTGGGTGTGTGGGTGGGTGTGTGGGTGGGTGGGTGTGTGGGTGGGTGTGTGGGTGGGTGGGTGGGTGAGTGTGTGTGTGGGTGGGGGTGGGTGTGTGTGGGTGGGTGTGGGTGGGTGTGTGGGTGGGTGGGTGAGTGAGTGGGTAAGTGAGTGAGTGGGTAAGTGGTTGGGTGAGTGGGTGGGTGTGTGTGTGGGTGAGTGTGTGTGTGGGTGGGTGAGTGGGTGAGTGTGTGTGTGGGTGAGTGTGTGTGTGGGTGGGTGTGAGTGTGAGTGTGTGTGTGTGTGTGTGGGTGTGTGGGTGTGGGTGGGTGTGTGGGGGTGTGGGTGTGGGGGGGTGTGGGGGTGGGTGGGTGTGTGTGTGGGTGGGTGAGTGGGTGTGGGTGGGTGTGTGGGTGCGTGTGTGGGGGTGGGTGTGTGGGTGGGTGTGTGGGTGTGTGGGTGTGTGGGTGGGTGTGTGGGTGGGTGTGTGGGTGGGTGTGTGGGTGGGTGGGTGGGTGTGTGGGTGTGGGTGGATGTGTGGGTGAGTGTGTGGGTGAGTGTGTGAGTGTGTGGGTGGGTGGGGGTGGGTGTGTGTGGGTGGGTGAGTGGGTGGGTGGGTGTGTGTGTGGGTGGGTGAGTGGGTGGGTGGGTGGGTGTGTGGGTGGGTGTGTGGGTGGGTGGGTGTGTGGGTGGGTGTGTGGGTGGGTGGGTGGGTGAGTGTGGGTGGGGGTGGGGGTGGGTGTGTGTGGGTGGGTGGGTGTGGGTGGGTGTGTGGGTGGGTGGGTGAGTGAGTGGGTAAGTGGTTGGGTGAGTGGGTGGGTGTGTGTGTGGGTGGGTGTGTGTGTGGGTGGGTGAGTGGGTGAGTGGGTGTGTGGGTGGGTGTGTGTGTGGGTGGGTGAGTGGGTGAGTGGGTGTGTGGGTGTGTGGGTGGGTGTGGCTGTGGGTGTGTGGTGTGGTGGGTGTTTGGGTGGGTGTGGGTGGGTGGGGGTGTGTGGGTGGGTGAGTGAGTGAGTGGGTGGGTGGGTGAGTGGGTGAGTGAGTGAGTGGGTGGGTGGGTGAGTGAGTGAGTGGGTGAGTGAGTGGGTTAGTGGGTGAGTGAGTGGGTGGGGGTGTGTGGGTTTGTGTGTGGGTGTGTGTGGGTGTGTGTGGGTGTGGGGGTGGGTGTGTGGGTGGGTGTGTGTAGGTGTGTGGGTGGGTGAGTTGGGGTGTGTGGGTGGGGGTGTGGGTGTGTGTGGGTGGCTGGGTGTGTAGGTGGGTGTGGGTGGGTAGCTGTGTGGGTGGGTGGGTGTGTGGGTGTGTGGTGTGTGGGTGTGTGTGTGGGTGTGTGGTGTGTGGGTGGGTGTGGGTGGGTGAGTTGGTAAGTGAGTGAGTGGGTGAGTGAATGGGTTAGTGGGTGAGTGAGTGGGTGAGTGGTTGAGTGGTTGAGTGAGTGGGTGAGTGAGTGAGTGGGTGGGTGAGTGGTGTGTGGGTGGGTGTGTGGGTGGGTGTGGGTGGGTGAGTGAGTGAGTGGGTGGGTGGGTGTGTGAGTGGGTGTGTGGGTGGGTGAGTGTGTGGGTGGGTGAGTGAGTGGGTGGGTGGGTGAGTGAGTGGGTGAGTGGGTGAGTGGGTGAGTGAGTGGGTGAGTGAATGGGTTAGTGGGTGAGTGAGTGGGGGTGTGGTGTGTGGGTGTGTGGGTGGGTGGGAGTGTGTGTGTGGTTGGGTGTGTGGGTGAGTGGGTGAGTGGGTGGGTGTGTGGGTGGGTGTGTGGGTGAGTGTGTGAGTGTGTGGGTGGGTGGGGGTGGGTGTGTGTGGGTGGGTGAGTGGGTGAGTGGGTGGGTGGGTGAGTGAGTGAGTGAGTGGGTGGGTGTGTGTGTGGGTGGGTGAGTGGGTGGGTGTGGGTGTGAGTGAGTGGGTGAGTGTGTGGGTGTGTGGGTGGGTGGGTGTGTGTGTGTGTGGGTGAGTGGGTGGGTGGGTGGGTGGGTGTGGGGGGGTGGGTGTGTGGGTGGGTGGGTGGGTGTGTGTGTGGGTGGGTGAGTGAGTGGGTGAGTGAGTGGGTGAGTGGGTGGGTGTGTGTGTGGGTAAGTGTGTGTGTGGGTGGGTGTGTGTGTGGGTGAGTGTGTGTGTGGGTGGGTGTGTGTGTGGGTGGGTGAGTGGGTGTGTGTGGGTGTGTGGGTGTGGGGGTGTGGGGGTGGGTGGGTGGGTGTTTTTGTGGGTGGGTGTGTGTGTGTGTGGGTGAGTGGTTGTGGGTGGGTGAGTGAGTGAGTGGGTGGGTGGGTGGGTGTGTGAGTGGGTGTGTGGGTGGGTGAGTGTGTGGGTGGGTGAGTGAGTGGGTGGGTGGGTGAGTGAGTGGGTGAGTGGGTGAGTGGGTGAGTGAGTGGGTGAGTGAATGGGTTAGTGGGTGAGTGAGTGGGGGTGTGGTGTGTGGGTGTGTGGGTGGGTGGGAGTGTGTGTGTGGTTGGGTGTGTGGGTGAGTGGGTGTGTGGGTGGGTGTGTGGGTGGGTGTGTGGGTGAGTGTGTGAGTGTGTGGGTGGGTGGGGGTGGGTGTGTGTGGGTGGGTGAGTGGGTGAGTGGGTGGGTGGGTGAGTGAGTGAGTGGGTGGGTGTGTGGGTGGGTGAGTGGGTGGGTGGGTGTGTGGGTGGGTGTGTGGGTGGGTGTGTGGGTGGGTGTGTGGGTGGGTGAGTGTGTGTGTGGGTGGGTGAGTGAGTGGGTAAGTGGTTGGGTGAGTGGGTGTGTGGGTGAGTGTGTGTGTGGGTGGGTGTGTGTGTGGGTGAGTGTGTGTGTGGGTGGGTGTGTGTGTGGGTGGGTGAGTGGGTGTGTGTGTGGGTGGGTGGGTGTGTGGGGGTGGGGGTGGGTGTGTGGGGGGGGGAGTGTGTGGGTGTGTGTGTGGGGGTGTGGGTGTGGGTGTTTGTGTGTGTGGGTGGGTGAGTGGGTGTGGGTGGGTGTTTGGGTGGGTGTTTGGTTGTGGGGGTGGGTGTGTGGGTGTGTGGGTGGGTGGGTGTGTGGGTGTGTGGGTGGGTGTGTGGGTGAGTGGTTGGGTGGTTGGGTGGGTGTGTGGGTGTGTGGGTGTGGGTGGGTGTGTGGGTGAGTGTGTGGGTGAGTGTGTGAGTGTGTGGGTGGGTGGGGGTGGGTGTGTGTGGGTGGGTGAGTGGGTGGGTGGGTGAGTGAGTGAGTGGGTGGGTGTGTGTGTGGGTGGGTGAGTGGGTGGGTGGGTGTGTGGGTGGGTGTGTGGGTGGGTGGGTGGGTGGGTGGGTGTGTGGGTGGGTGGGTGAGTGTGTGTGTGGGTGGGGGTGGGTGTGTGTGGGTGGGTGGGTGTGGGTGGGTGTGTGGGTGGGTGGGTGAGTGAGTGGGTAAGTGGTTGGGTGAGTGGGTGGGTGTGTGTGTGGGTGAGTGTGAGTGTGTGTGTGGGTGGGTGTGTGTGTGGGTGGGTGAGTGGGTGAGTGGGTGGGTGTGTGTGTGGGTGTGTGTGTGGGTGGGTGAGTGGGTGTGGGTGGGTGTGTGGGGGTGGGTTGGTGGGTGTGTGGGTGGGTGGGTGTGGGTGGGTGTGTGTGTGGGTGGGTGAGTGGGTGTGGGTGTGTGGGTGGGTGTGTGGGGGTGGGTGTGTGGTTGGGTATGTGGGTGTGTGTGTGTGTGGGTGTGTGGTTGGGTGGGTGAGTGGGTGTGTGTGTGAGTGGGTGTGGGAGGGTGAGTGGGTGAGTGAGTGGGTGAGTGTGTGAGTGTGTGGGTGGGTGGGGGTGGGTGTGTGTGGGTGGGTGAGTGGGTGGGTGGGTGAGTGAGTGAGTGGGTGGGTGGGTGTGTGTGTGGGTGGGTGAGTGGGTGGGTGGGTGGGTGTGTGGGTGGGTGTGTGGGTGGGTGGGTGTGTGGGTGGGTGTGTGGGTGGGTGGGTGGGTGAGTGTGTGTGTGGGTGGGGGTGGGTGTGTGTGGGTGGGTGGGTGGGTGTGGGTGGGTGTGTGGGTGGGTGGGTGAGTGAGTGGGTAAGTGGTTGGGTGAGTGGGTGGGTGTGTGTGTGGGTGAGTGTGTGTGTGGGTGAGTGTGTGTGTGGGTGGGTGTGTGTGTGGGTGGGTGAGTGGGTGAGTGAGTGAGTGGGTGAGTGAGTGGGTGTGGCTGGGTGGGTGTGTGGGTGGGTGTGGGTGGGTGTTTGGGTGGGTTTGTGGGTGGGTGGGTGGGGGTGTGGGTGGGTGAGTGAGTGGGTGGGTGGGTGAGTGGGTGAGTGAGTGAGTGGGTGGGTGGGTGGGTGAGTGAGTGAGTGGGTGAGTGAGTGGGTTAGTGGGTGAGTGAGTGGGTGGGGGTGTGTGGGTTTGTGTGTGGGTGTGTGTGCGTGTGTGTGGGTGTGGGGGTGGGTGTGTGGGTGTGGGGGTGGGTGTGTGGGTGGGTGTGTGTAGGTGTGTGGGTGGGTGAGTTGGGGTGTGTGGGTGGGGGTGTGGGTGTGTGTGGGTGGCTGGGTGTGTAGGTGGGTGTGGGTGGGTAGCTGTGTGGGTGGGTGGGTGTGTGGATGTGTGGTGTGTGGGTGTGTGGTGTGTGGGTGTGGGGGTATGTGGGTGTGTGGGTGTGTGTGGGGTGTGTAGGTGTGTGTGGGTTTGTGGGTGTGTGTGTGTGGGTGTGTGTGGGTGAGTGAGTGGGTGTGTGTATGAGTGGGTGAGTGGGTGAGTGAGTGGGTGGGTGGTTGAGTGAATGAGTGACTGAGCGAATGAGCGACTGAGCGAATGAGCGAACGAATGAGTTGAATCTCTCCGCTCCCTCGCCACCCACGGTGCAGGCAACAACGGGCAGATCCAGCTGTGGCAGTTCTTGCTGGAGCTTCTCACTGATCGTGAGGCTCGCGACTGCATCTGCTGGGTGGGTGATGAGGGGGAGTTCAAGCTGAACCAGCCGGAGCACGTGGCCCAGCGTTGGGGGCAACGGAAGAACAAACCCACCATGAATTATGAGAAGCTGAGCCGGGCACTGCGGTGAGACACAGAGACAGTGAGAGAGAGAGAGACAGAGAGAGTGGGAGAGAGACAGAGAGAGAGAGACAGAGAGACACAGACAGAGAGAGAGACACAGAGAGACAGACAGAGAGAGAGACAGACAGAGAGAGACATCTGCTGGGTGGGTGATGAGGGGGAGTTCAAGCTGAACCAGCCGGAGCACGTGGCCCAGCGTTGGGGGCAACGGAAGAACAAACCCACCATGAATTATGAGAAGCTGAGCCGGGCACTGCGGTGAGACACAGAGACAGAGAGACAGACAGGGAGAGAGGCAGAGAGAGAGACAGAGAGACAGAGAGAGAGACAGAGAGACAGAGAGACAGAGAGAGAGACACAAGAACAAACCCACCATGAATTATGAGAAGCTGAGCCGGGCACTTCGGTGAGACACAGAGACAGAGAGACAGAGAGACAGAGAGAGAGACAGAGAGACACAGAGACAGAGAGACAGTGGGAGAGACAGAGAGACAGTGAGACAGTGGGAGAGAGAGACACAGACACAGAGACACAGAGAGAGAGACAGACAGAGAGAGACATCTGCTGGGTGGGTGATGAGGGGGAGTTCAAGCTGAACCAGCCGGAGCACGTGGCCCAGCGTTGGGGGCAACGGAAGAACAAACCCACCATGAATTATGAGAAGCTGAGCCGGGCACTGCGGTGAGACACAGAGACAGAGAGACAGAGAGACAGAGAGACAGACAGAGAGACACAGAGAGAGAGACAGACAGAGAGAGAGACAGAGAGAGAGAGAGACAGAGAGACACAAGAACAAACCCACCATGAATTATGAGAAGCTGAGCCGGGCACTTCGGTGAGACACACGGGGACAGAGAGACAGAGACACAGACAGGGAGACAGAGAGAGAGACACAGAGACAGTGACAGTGAGAGAGAGAGACAGGGAGAGAGACAGAGAGACAGGGAGAGAGAGAGACAGACAGAGAGACAGAGAGACAGAGAGACACAAGAACAAACCCACCATGAATTATGAGAAGCTGAGCCGGGCACTTCGGTGAGACACACAGAGACAGAGAGAGAGAGACACAGAGAGACACAGAGAGAGACAGAGAGACAGGGAGAGAGAGAGAGAGACAGAGAGACAGAGAGAGACCGAGAGAGAGACACACAGAGAGAGAGACAGAGAGAGTGGGAGAGAGAGAGAGAGAGACAGAGACACAGACGGAGAGAGAGAGAGAGACAGAGAGAGACACAGAGAGAGAGACAGAGAGACACAAGAACAAACCCACCATGAATTATGAGAAGCTGAGCCGGGCACTTCGGTGAGACACACGGGGACAGGGAGACAGAGAGACAGACAGGGAGAGAGACAGAGAGACAGGGAGAGAGACAGAGAGACAGAGAGAGAGACAGAGAGAGTGGGAGAGAGACAGAGAGAGAGAGACAGAGACACAGAGACAGAGAGACAGTGAGACAGAGAGAGACAGAGAGAGACACAGAGAGAGAGATAGAGAGACAGACAGAGACACAGACACAGAGAGACACAGACAGAGAGACAGACAGAGAGAGACATCTGCTGGGTGGGTGATGAGGGGGAGTTCAAGCTGAACCAGCCGGAGCACGTGGCCCAGCGTTGGGGGCAACGGAAGAACAAACCCACCATGAATTATGAGAAGCTGAGCCGGGCACTGCGGTGAGACACAGAGACAGAGAGACAGACAGGGAGAGAGGCAGAGAGAGAGACAGAGAGACAGAGAGAGAGACAGAGAGACAGAGAGACAGAGAGAGACCGAGAGAGAGACACAGAGAGAGAGACAGAGAGAGTGGGAGAGAGAGAGAGAGAGAGACAGAGACACAGACGGAGAGACAGTGAGACAGAGAGAGACACAGAGAGAGAGAGATAGAGAGACAGACAGAGACAGAGAGACAGTGAGACAGTGGGAGAGAGAGACACAGACACAGAGACACAGACAGAGAGACAGTGGGAGAGAGACATC